AGAGAGATGTTTGTGAAAATGTCTTTGCTGTAGGAGTTTAGGCTGCACTTATCAATATTTTTCTATATTAATAATGGATCGTTTCATCACTCATTTTGTTTTTTCAGCTGCTGTTTGTGGTGAAACGCTGATAAACAGACGATATTAGCATTGAGCTCGAGCAATATCCAAATATCCCACTATACGCTATTATCAGAAATATTTTCTAAAATACAATCTTGTTTTACTTTTAAAAGACACAGAGACTATTTTACATCATTTTAAGATTTTATTGATTATTTTACCGGCTCTTTTAATACTCTTGTTAAAACAAACTTTTATACGAGAACTTTTCCTGCTTTTACTTTCCCTTGAATTGTTTTCTTTCTTCGTTTTAATTGTTTCATCTGTTTTTCTTCTCTTTGAAATCTTTTGAATTCATTGATTCTTTTTTATAATTACAGCAATTTGTGATGAGGTTTTTGAAAAGTGCTCTAGCAATAAAGATTATTATTATTATTATTATCAATACAATAATTATTATCGCAGTTTTTGAAAATTCAGTTGTTATTTAACTACATAATCATATTATTGTATTTTATGTTTCAGGTATAATTGATGCTGCTTCCAAACTGAGAAAAAAAATCATTATGAAAAATATTAGATATGGTAAAAAATATCTGCATATTTAATATTATTACATATATATATATATATATATGTGTGTGTGTGTGTAGCCTACTAAGCATCTAACTTTTTTAGCTAAAAATGAGTGAATTTTGGACGTACACTCATTAAATTGACAAAAACATGACTCCATATAATGGCTAATGTTGCTCTGTGTAAACTGGATGTAATCAGGCAACTATTTGATAATACTTAAGCTATAACAACAGTATATCATAACAGCATAATGACATCGTATATTCAGTACGACCTAAATTTCATCATTATCAATTTTGAGACATTAACTTAAAAAGTGTTCAACAATATATTTCTATAACAAGATCCCAGCTAAACGAGNCACCTCTTCCTCACAGTCCTTTTTTGACCCCATACATACATATATATATACATATATATATATATATTTAGTATTATAAAAAATAAGTTATTGCGCATCCAAAAAAAAGTGCATTGTATATTTGAAAAATATCTCTTTCTCTCTTTACACTTTTCCATTTTCTTCANTCTTGTTTTACTTTTAAAAGACACAGAGACTATTTTACATCATTTTAAGATTTTATTGATTATTTTACCGGCTCTTTTAATACTCTTGTTAAAACAAACTTTTATACGAGAACTTTTCCTGCTTTTACTTTCCCTTGAATTGTTTTCTTTCTTCGTTTTAATTGTTTCATCTGTTTTTCTTCTCTTTGAAATCTTTTGAATTCATTGATTCTTTTTTATAATTACAGCAATTTGTGATGAGGTTTTTGAAAAGTGCTCTAGCAATAAAGATTATTATTATTATTATTATCAATACAATAATTATTATCGCAGTTTTTGAAAATTCAGTTGTTATTTAACTACATAATCATATTATTGTATTTTATGTTTCAGCTATAACTGATGCTGCTTCCAAACTGAGAAAAAAAATCATTATGAAAAATATTAGATATGGTAAAAAATATCTGCATATTTAATATTATTACATATATATATATATATATATGTATGTGTGTGTGTAGCCTACTAAGCATCTAACTTTTTTAGCTAAAAATGAGTGAATTTTGGACGTACACTCATTAAATTGACAAAAACATGACTCCACATAAATGCTAATGTTGCTCTGTGTAAACTGGATGTAATCAGGCAACTGTTTGATAATACTTAAGCTATAACAACAGTATATCATACCAGCATAATGACATCATATATTCAGTACGACCTAAATTTCATCATTATCAGTTTTGAGACATAAACTTAAAAAGTGTTCAACAATATATTTCTATAACAAGATCCCAGCTAAACGAGTGAAACAGCCTCACAAAGAGTCTGTGGTGCTTCTGTTTCACAGACAAACATTGTTGTAACTGAAATCAGGAACTATATACTAGATATGTACTAGATATGTACAGTGGGGTCCAAAAGTCTGAGATCTCCTTTTTTTCTTGCCAGAAACTCAAACCTGTGCCTCCTCTGGTTTGGTGTGGAGGCGACTTCTCCATCTGTCAGTGACAGAGTTTTTTTTTATTTCTTATTTAGCCTCAGGATCCACACCTTCCTCCCTCACTTCCCCGGCAACCTGAGCAACCACTTGAGAGTTTTCAGTTTCAGTTTTCAGTCGCACTCCCTGAAGCTCCCAGCCGAGAGACGGCGCCACAGACGGGTCCTGAACCCTCCCGGCCTCGCTGCAGAGTCGGGAGAACAAACACATCTGAGAGGAGAAACTTTTCTCACCCAGCTCGTCCCCAGAGGAGAAGATGGCGGAGCCCAGGCGAGAGTTGTAGTGGGAGTTGGCGAAGGCTGTGAAGTTGTTCTGCAGCCGGCGGTGTCGGAGGTAGAGCGCCACCAAGCTGCCGCACACTCCCAGCAGCAGCAGGAAGAGGACGGGGACCACCACGGCCGCCATGTCCCCTGAGTGGCCCTCACCGTGGGAGGCATCACTGGCCCCTGCACAGGAGGGAAAATCAAGTTCACGTTCATGACTTACACTAAAGCTCCGCAACAGACACGATCTCCGTCCAGACTAACACACCTGAGCAATCACACACACTGGGCACGTGCGAGCCGGTGTGAACAGGAAGCAGATTGTCTACTCTGCAGTTGATTAGTTGCATGAACGAGGAACAACAGAGACAGCTGCAGAGTTTAAATACAGAGTTTAACTGAACAACAACAGCTGCTAGCAAAGACAACAAGGTCAGTAACACCTGTATTTCATTATCATGGTGCTTTCACTGCTGGTAGACCAGGCCCAGTCAGGGGTCTACGTCATCGTTTCCAAAGGTCTCAACCCCGGAGTTTTCAAACTAAATCGGGGTCAGCATCGAAAAATGCCAGAGTTGCGTGGACGGGAGGCGAAACCGTAGCAACGGTGTTTTAAAAAACATATATACAGGAATGTGTTGCGGTACCTGCTGTGAGCTGGTTGTAGAGCAGCAGAGCAGGTTCCCCGCACAGCTGACCGCTGAGCAGGCAGCGCGCCTGCACAGAGAAGGTGTAGTTGTGTCCCACCAGCAGGCTGCTGATCCGGAAGTAGGTCTCCGTGGTGTTTCCCAGGTAAGACGTCTGGTTGGTCACGCTGTCGTGCACGTGCACTTCGTACCCCTGTGACCGGGACGACAAGGACGTCAGTGGAGGGAAATGAGAGCAGTAATACAGCGGCCATGACGGTAGAACTACAAGAGATTCATCTTTATTAACACCGAGTTTTTACTTCTGTATTTTCTGATTATATCTGGAAAAAAAAAAGATTCGGAGGCTTTGAGAATTAGTTCAAATCTCATTATCAAATATAATAATATTACTGGTTATATACTACTATATATAAAGTGCCTGTTCTCTCTGTGTAAAGTTAGATTAAAGTTAAACTCGGGTTTCCATAAGGAGGAAGAAAAAGCTGTAACAGCCGCGTTCCCGTCACAGTTTTGCTCAAAATAGAAGCGATTATTTTAGAAAAGTCGACAAAACATGATTGTTAATGTTCTGTGTTTCCATTGAGTGATGTCATGTGAGTAAAGCTGGGTTTTCTCCTCTTGCAACGTCATTTCCAATTAAACATGGCGATGGATTTCCAGCATCTTTTAATTGTTGGGACGACTGCATCCACTGCAGGAGCCATTCGATCGAAGGCCACCTGCTGCACGATTACGTCTGTATTTATATCTATATCCATATTTTTGGGAGATAACTGCCTGTCAATGTTTTCGGATGTCATGCAGCTAAATGTGGGAAACGTGTTTCTTCAAATCGTGCATTAATCAGGTCAGTGGAAACACGGTGACTGCGACACGGAAGATGCCGGTCGGCGGCGCCGCACCCTGCTCTCGTTGAAGCCCTTCTCTCTGACAGCCAGACTCTTCCAGAAGAGGAACACGTGGTCTTTCTCCGTCAGGATCTTCAGAGCCTCCGGAGCCGGAAGAGGAACTGCGGCAGAAGAGAAAACACTCCTTCAAACAACAGGAGTGTCTCTGTAAAGACAAAGACTTGTACTGTGCTGCATGAAGTACATGAGTCTGCAGCACAGCTACAAACACACAGTACTGCACCATGGGATATGGAGTGGTAATTACAGATTTAAGCAACTATGACCATGCCCTGCATTTACACAGTCAAATAGATGTTATAAATAGGGTTGAGATGAATTATTCTTTGCAATTCATCTGTATTTATTGATTTATGTATCAAATTAGTCAAATCACAGTTTGTCTGAAGCGAAAACCAGATTTCAAGCTACAAATCTTCACACTGGATAATCTGGAACCCACAAACCTTTGACGTATTCATTCAATAAATGACTTAAATAATGAAGCAGTTATTAAAGTAGGTGTCACCTGTGCTCAGAGTGAAGCTGGCCTCTTTGCTCATGTTGCGCAGGCGGACAGAGACGCTGTACCGGCCTCCGGCCTCCAGGCCTTTCAGCAGATACTCCACCGTGTTGTTCTGCGTGGTCAGTTTGTAATCCCACTCCACTTTACGGATCACGTCCCGCACGTGGATCGCATACGTCTACAGGACACAGGAAGAACACAAAGGCGCGTTAGATCAAAGCAGCATCGTAGCAGATGATAGAGATCACACTCCCGATGCTTGTCACCATAGTAACGTGAGGCGGCGTCGTACCAGAGGTGCGTTCGGGGCGTCGTACGGCGGCTGCCACTTCAGCGTCGCCTGCGTTTTGTCCACCCGCACGCGGTGCAGGTTCCTCGGCGGCAGCCTCTCGTTGGGGATCATCTTCACCACGGCGTAGTCGGAGGGAGGGCCGAGGAACGGAGACACGGCGCGCACCTGGGGACAGACGACAAACAGGACGTGATGCTGCCGCTCAGGCGACGGTGACCGAGTAACACCAACAAAATACCAGAGGCGATACCGATCAATGCTGTCATCAATCAATGATATCCATATATCACCTGTAATCACTGAGTATTATTACCTGTAGGGAAGTAATAATACTACAGTGGACGCCGACACTGATTAAGGCATCAATGTGTCATGCAGGATTTTAATGGCGTATCCCATGATGCACCTCTCATTCCAAACGTAAACAATGATAAAACTGATAAACATCCTCAGACACAACCCCCCCCCCACCCCCCCAAAAGAAAAGACTAATGAAAAAAATGTAATTAAATGATGTTTACTTTTCACGTCTCGCAATTTAAACTGTTACATTTTTATTAAGACGCAGTTTCTCCTGCATGAGACACATCTGGTTTCCAGATGTTTTCATATAAACACAAAGTTTATGTTTATTCAGTTTATATCAGTAAATTTAATTCTCAAATCAGGATCCAAAACAAAATCTCAGGTTAATTGATTGATTACCTGTCTGTGAACATTTTTAAACAAAGGCTGAAAAACTATTTGTTTAATTTGACTTTTAATTAATTCTCCCATATTTTACTTTTCTTACTGGTTTTCATTTCCATATTTCATCATCCACTGTCTTTCTATTGTCTAACTTCATTGTTCTTCTGTTATTTCATTATCAATATATACTGATAATGTTAATGCCCTAATTCATTCATCAGTGTGTTTCAGTGTATTCAGTCCTCTGCTCACCAGATCTCAGTGTGATCGTTTTATCAACAGGAATTTATAAAAGGAATTTTTGTGGAACATTTTATTAAAGGAGGTTTAACATGATAAAAAGGTCCAGTGCTTATAAAACAGACAGTAAACGCATAAATAAGTTTTAACTATGATTAAAAACAAAACATCTTCCCGCCCCCTCCCATGAAAACACTAAAATTAGGGAAACACTTTCCGTAGCGTTTGAACATCTCATCATCACCGCTGCCAATCGAGAAAGGTAACACGTGGAATATGCTGATGTGATATTTGTCTTTAACTGTGGCTGTTAATCAAAATGAGGCCGTACTTGTAGTTAAACACACACACGAGTTAAATCCCTCACAGGCGTCGTCCTGAGATCAGCTGCTCACTCTTCCTCTCACACCACTCAGGTTTTTGGCAGAGCTGGTTCCCATTTGCACCTGGATTTGTGAAACTTAACGCAGAATAATTTACCACTTCTGTTCCGACTTTTTCTGTATTAGGTAAAAAAGATTGTGGATAATTTAACCCCCCTCCCCCCCCAAAAAACGTCGTCTTTAAACAGACTTCCAGGCTGCTGGGACAAATTTGGCTTCGGTGTGGCAGCCTGGGACCGACGGAGAGATTTTATTTGAGACTTCTGGGAGCTCAGACATCTGCCCAGCGTCTCTCCTGATTTAACACCGCACTAAACCGAGAATGAAAAACTTCACTTCGACACAAACCTGGTGTTGCTTTGTTCGGCGTCAGCAGAAACTCAAACATTATGATTAAAGACGAAGAAAACCCCCGTCAAGACGTCCAGACTCGGAGGGGACGAGGCGTTTAAGTGCGGTGAAATAAAGTCCGTAAAAAAGACTTCAGACTCACCAGGAAGAGATACTGCTCGTCGCTGTCCACTGTCACCGTGAGGCCGAGGGACGTGCTGCGGACCAGGTGAGGACTCCGGTACAGATCCAGGAAGGAGGTGGCATAATACACACCATACATCTACACACACACACACACACACACACACACACACACACACACACACACACACACACAAGTGTCAACTCAGTAAAAATTTCTTTACATCAAAGTCTCTATTAAAGAGCTGGAACATGTTGAGAATCTAAAGGTTCTACTTTATGTGGAAGCATTTAAACGCAGTGATTTGGAGTCACAACATGTTTTAACTCATGACCTCTTAAATTAAAGCTACTTGCAGCCACATGTGGGGTTTTATTGAAGTTGTGAACAGTTAGAAACAGATTATTCTCTCTCACACTGTTTCAGTTTAACACAAATCAGAGGCCTGAAGAGGTAAAATATTCATTTCTCACTATGAAATACACCTGTGTAGTTTTTTTCATCCTTTCCTATTCTGTTAATCATCTTGTGGCCCCTCAGATTTATCTTGGACCCCTCTCGGTCTCCTGACCCACAGGTTGAGACCCGAACATAACGCAGTAAAACACGTTTACACCGGACAAAAAAACCTGCAAAAAAGGGTCAATCACCTGAATTTAACAGGTTTATCAACGGTAAAAGAAAGAAAACAGGATCATTTGGGTTTAAAAGGTCACAGCAGAGAGTCTACAGCCGTATTTATATTTTCCTTTTTGAGTGTAAAATATCGAAGCGTAACGTCAAGGACGCATTTCTGTTCATATAATTTTACAGCTTAAGTGAATGGAAATAAATAACAACGTATTAATAAACTTTTAAAAGTGATTTACAGAAAGAAAAAAACATTGCAATTAAAAACAAAAGAAAAACAAACACATAAACATAAAACACCATAATATAAATGTAATATTTATGTTGTGTTTTTACACGTTTTGGTCCCATGACCTTGAACAGTTCGACGTCCATGTCAGTGATATGTTCCTCAGGTGTGTCGTACCTGTGCAGGGTCTCCAGTGATGGTCCAGCTGCAGTCCACAGCTGTCTGGTTCAGGGCCCTGAGTTTGAGGTAGGGTCTCTCTGGCTGGGTGCCGTTGGTCTGATGGTGGGAGAGGGCGGTGGGACTGTCTCCTATACTGGTGTGGACCCACACGGCCACCTCGTACACCGTCCCTGCTGTCAGGTTCGTAGCTGGACACACACACACACACACACACACACACACACCCACACACACGACACGCTGAGTAACTGGACTGAGATGATGATGATGACGGTGCGTTCAGGCGCCTAAAATGACTCACGGTACCTTTGAGGATCCCCTCTCTGACCGTGTAGTTCTTGCTCTCCTTCACGTGTTTGTCAAACTGCCAGGACAGAATCACGATGTACTGCTTCACCTTAAACAAACACCGGAGACCCGTCAGTGACGCTCACACACACACATACACACAGATACACACACATACACACAGATACACACAGATAAACATCTTCTTATTAGGAATCAGAGTTTGCAGAGAGGCTCTTACATCGTACTGGGAGTTTAAGCTGAACGAGAGACTGATGGAGTCGGAGGTGATGCTGTCGGCGATCACGGAGGGCGGAGGAAGAGCTGCAGCAGAGAACAGCACATTTATTTTATTACCGACATGTTTTCAGTGCGATTTGGTTTTTTTTCTGTCTTCAGGGACTTGAGTCTTTATGTTCCCTTCAACATTTTAATTCGATTTAACTCAACGCAAACTCAGCACTTCCTCCAGGTGTTTCACATTAAAAGCCCCCCCGTCCTTCCAGGGAGGAAACATCCGGAGGAAACGTTGAGTTTTATCAAGTAGAATCTGAATTAACGAGAACAGAGTGAAAACAGTGATGCTCGTTGAATTCAACACAACAGCAACTGGTCATTTTTGTTTTCCTCCAGGTTTATTACGAGACTTTATACTGTGCAACCTCCTGCTAATCTTAAATCTTAATTTAATTTAAGGTTTCTAAATGCTTTAAATAGCTGAACCATGTGTCGTAGTAATTCTTTTGATTTCATCTGAACATTTTACTTTTGCTTGGAGATGAGTGGAAACATGTGGAAGGTTTTAAGGTCGTGTGGTTTGGTGATTTCTGATCTGAAAACAGAAACAGCTGCGCTCCCTGAAGGAGATCCAAACAATCCCACTCTCCCATGTTGGAGTTCACATCACCACGACCTTAAATACCTCGTTAACACCAGCAGGTGACGGTGTTGGAGAAGACCGGCTCACCTTTCTTAGGAGTGATGGATTTAACCGCCGTCCAGTTCCCAACACCTCGACTGGTCACTGCTGCCACCTGGAAACATCGTCTCAGCAACATCAACAAGACTGGACCTGATACTGGTGTGTGTGTGTGTGTGTGTGTGTGTGTGTGTGTGTGTCTTACCCTGAACCTGTACAGAGTGTCCGGCTGCAGCTCCTTCACCTCGGTGCTGGTTGTGATGCATCTCTGTGACGTCCAATCAAGATCTCCACGCTCACTGTATTCAACCTGACACACACACACACACACACGTTGTGACCTCTATCAGTAAAATATTCAGAGGACACATTAACACGTGACGCGGTTTGACGCAGAGAAGAAGAACTCACGATGTATTCCCTGATGAGGCCGTGTCCTTTGTCAGGGGAACTCCAGGAGACCTCCACCGTCCCGTCCTCGCCGTTATCACAAGACAGCTGCAGGTTCCTGGGAGGGTCCGGCACTACGACACACACACACACACACACACACACACACACACACACACACACACACACGTTCATTACGCGTCTGTTTTTTCCCCCGTCAGTCAAAGTGTTTAAAAGTCGCCTACAGTGTTAAACCTGTTACTACATCTGTAACTGTAACATCAATACGATAATCAATAACCATTACCTTTCTGCTCAGTTTAACACTTTTTAATTAATTAATTAATTAATTAATTAATTAATTAATAAGACAAGCTATTGTTTTCAGCTGGACGTTTCTTCTCTTCAGGTAAAAAGCCTGAATACTTGGTATTAACAGGGAGTTTGGACAGATTTGTCTCTAAATCTCCTAAAGATTTAAAATGATAAAGACTTTTCTGTTTAAAATCTTCATTTGAATTTTAACTTGCACAATGTGCACTTGTTCCTTTATTTCAGTAGAAGAAGAAAACTGAAAAAAATGAGAGTAATCAGGTTTCTGACAAGTGAAGCATCATTTCACAAATAGCTACGAACTAAAGATGAGACACAACTACGTCAGCAAGTTAATCACTTAATTAGATTTTGCTTAAATTCCTCCTGCACAGGTAAAACGAGCTCCCTGTACGGCGATCAGGTGATTACCCACCTCCCTCTGGCGTCCTGACCGTGATCACCTCGTTGGTCTTGTGCAGTTTACTGAGACACTGAGTGAGGACCTTGACGTGGTAGGTGGTGTCGGGTTTCAGCACCGTCAGCTTGTAGCTGGTCTTGTTGCTGTGAGTGTCCATGATGGTCCACTGCTGCATGCCCACGAGTCTGAGGAGCGACACACGCTTTATAAACCTCACTCGCACGTGAACGAGCCTCATTTCCACTCCCACTATTAGCCACAAGTGGATGAAGACACTCCCCCTAAATTTACTCTGAACTTTACTGAGACGCTTTAACGAGGCTCCGGACTCCAACACTGTGATCAGTAAATATTAAAACAGGATCAAACAGCTACAGAACGACTCACAATAAATAATAAGGACATGAAAAGATGTCACACAATCATTTCCCTTCATGAAGTGAACGAATGAAGCTCCGTGATTTTATTTCATGTTAAATTACGTCTCGGCTCGTTTTGTGTTTTCTCTGTGACTCGGATCTCTTTTGGAAAAGTGTGTGTTCGTGCATCTGTTATGCTTCTGGTGTCAGTGTTTGACCCGGAGTGGAAGAAGCTCCCAGTGCAGCTGTGATGAGGCCGACTGATACTGAGTCGGTATCTCCAGATGTTTCTGTAAAACAGTCACCTGTAGTAGATGAGGAAGTAGCACGAGTCCACGGGAAGGTTCTTGGGACGAGACCAGGTCAGAGTAATGGCACCCAGGATGTCAGGGGTCCACTGGAGGTTCTGGACTTTATAAGCCAGGGTGTCCACTGAGAGAGAGAGGGAGAGAGAGAGAGGTTATGTGCACAATAACAACCAGTAGGTGGCAGCATTGCACTGCTGTCAGATTCTGTATTGATTCTGAAATAGTTTTTAAAGCGGTTCATGGACCATGAACCAGTGCGGCGCGTCAGGACCTCTGGTACCGGTCTAATCCCTTCGGCCCGAGCAGCTGGAGGTGTATGAAAACGTTCCTCTGGAGTCTGGCTTTTAATCAAACATGGATTTCATTTTATTTTATTCAGTTATTTTATTGTAATTATGTTGTTTTTTTGATTTTCTTGTTTGTTACTGTTTGCTCATGTTATTAAAGCTTTTTTAATTCATTTCATTGAATCTCATTCTCAGCTTTCTCACTTGATTTGATTCATGAGTCTGTGAAGCTGCACTGACCTGTGTGAAAAGTGCTGTACAAATAAAGTTTGATTGATTGATTGATTGATTGATTGATTAAACCACGAGCTTCCTAACATCATGTATCATCAGACTGTCCAGCGGCTCATTGGGTGAGAGACAGTGTGGACGTACGGGTGCAGTTGTCCTCGTCGCTGTGGTCCGAACAGTCCAGGAAGCCGTCGCACCTCTCGCTGTCCAGCACGCAGGCCTCGCCGTCAGAGCAGCGAGTCCCGTTGACACAGAACAGAGGCCCACGTGTGGCTGGAGAAGAACAGAGAGGGGGGGGGGCAGTTTTATATTGTTGTTATTCAATGATGTGTATCTGATGTGCTGCGAATCGTCTGAATCAGATGCTTTTCTGTATTAATGGATCATAAAATGTGATCGGATCTTCATCTGACTCACAAGTACAAATAAACACAATGTTCTTGAGCTAAAAAACACACAAACAATTAAACTGTTTGTGTCTTTATTGCCAACGACCATTAAAGGTTCACTGTGTTGACAGAAATCATAAAGTGGTGGAAACACCAACGACCTCAAACAGTCTCCTGAGATCTGCTCAGATTTCAGCTGCAGGTTTTGAGTTTCATTTCCAAAAGCAAAATCTGATGAATGAATCTCAGCTGACGTCAGGACGCAGGACAGATTCACATTGTGACGTAAGGAGGATTTAAATGTGCCTCACATTCAGCAGTAAGTATATATCGTCTAATCTGAATCCCTCCTTCCTCCTTAAATCGCAAACAGGCGAGACTCACGGCAGTGCGCTTCATCAGAGCCGTCCTGGCAGTGGAGCTGCCCGTCGCAGCGCTGCCAGTCGGGGATGCAGCGGGGGGGTCGGCGACACAGGAACTGACCCCGACCGCAACGGCCGGGGGAGGGCGGGGGAGGAGGGGCCTGGGTGGGTGCGGGAGCCAGCGTCACAGAGCCGTTCACAGCTGTCAGAGAAAACACAGAGAACAGAAGAGAATTATTGTTTTTATTAATTAACTTGTTTATTTCTTCTTTTATGCTAAATTAGAATTTATTGCTAAGCTGCTAAAATTAACAAATTAATAAATCAATTCTTCAAGAAAACTAAAATATCACTTATAGAAACAGGATGTCGACAACTGTTGTTTTCTTTTCTAAATGAAGGATCGTTTTTGTTTTTGTTTTCTATCCTTCCTTCATGATATTAACATTTACATGTTGGTGGGAGGAGACACTGTGTATCATGTTACACCTGTTATTGGATCATTTTCTGTTCCTGATAAAAAAACATTTAACACAAAAAGAAATTTACATAATATATAATAATAAGATATAAAGCACAAAAAAAACTCTCGACCAATCAGCAGACGGGGGCGGTACCTGTGGGACAGCCGAGCTCGTCGCTGCCATCGGGACAGTCGGCGTAGCCGTCACACACCCAGGTGTTGATGATACAGGCTCCAGAGCCGCAGTGGAAGCGGTTGGGGGCGCAGGTCGAGGGGCCGGGGGCCACGGTGTGAGGAGTAACGCCACCTGGAGGAGGAGGAGGAGGAGGAGGAGGACGAGGAAACAAAAGAGAGAGATCTGAGTATCAGAAACACTGAAATAAATACTGTAAAATAATATGTATGTGCTTTTGTATGCTAGATTAAAAGAAAAAGTAAATGAAAAAATAATAATAATTAATCTTAATTATCAAACTCAGCCAGATCCCTTCACACAGCGGCAGCACAAATGTTTGTTAGTATATAAATATATATTAGATCTGTGGTTGATGGTTTGAAGATCAATCAGTGCAGGAGTGAAGGAAAACATGGAGAGTGAGGTAAAGTGGGGACGTCGTGTGTTTACAAGTTTGTTTTTGTTAACAATGAGATGTGACGTCACTTCTGAAGAACACCGGCCTACAGACGCACCTGTGCACTGCGCCTCGTCAGACCAGTCGCCACAGTCGTTCTCCCCGTCACACTTCCACCACGTGGGAATACAGCGTCCGTTTCTGCACTCGTACTGGAAATACCTGGAGCAGCCCGGGACCTCGGTGGGAGCGGCTGCAGCACAGAGAGTTAAAGTTCAACACAGCTGTCGATCACTCCTGACGAACACAATCATTTACTCCTCCTCCTCCTCCTCCTCCTCCTCCTCCTCCTCCTCCTCCTCACCACAGTTGGCCTCGTCGGAGTAATCCCCACAGTCGTCCATGCCGTCACACTTCCACTCCAGGCTCACACACACTCCGTTGGCACACTGGAAGGTGTAAGAGTCACACACTTTGCCAAATTCAGACGGTGTGGCTGAAAAGAAAACGCACATATTAGATCAGACTTTTATTTACATTATCTGTCGGTGACCAAATCAGAGCGTAAACGGGAATTTTAGGGCAAAAACATTTAAAAATCGTAAACACAGGTTATAAACGACAGGATTTTAAGTCTAATTTAAGGTCTAGTATCAATCGGTTTGGTAAAGAAATGAAAGAAATAAGAGAGAAACATGATCAGACAAGCTCATACTCTAGAAGTAGTTTCACAACCAAGTAAAAACAAGAGAGACGGAGCAGCTGTTCCAGATGTTACCGGCACAAAAAGACCGATTTAAAGAGTCACTGTTGAGGTGCACAGGTGTGTGAGAGGCCCAGTGTGAACACGCCTCCTCTTCTCATGCAGTGTTTCGTGTCAGTGCTGATTTTATCTGGCAAACATCACACACAGGTGGATTTACGGTTTCAACCGAATACAGGTCTCGTGGTTCTGCGTCCCGACCTGTTTTCAGGGGCTGCGTTTGTCATTTCTCCTCACCGCATCCGGCGTACTCGGCGTCCTCGTCGGATCCGTCCTCACAGTGTTTGATCCCGTCACAAACCAGAGACTGGAACAGACACTGGGCTCGGTTCTTGCAGACAAACTCCATGTAGCGGGTGCACAGGGGGTCTGAGGGGGAAAGACACAAAGCAACACACGAAATGACGCATCAACAACACGCAGCGTAAATAAGAAGTATTACATATAAATATTACATATTACATATACTGGCTGTTTCCCGGCGTCTTTATATGTTCCTGTCTCCAGGTAACCCTGTTGTTTCTGTTATGGAGGCTGGAACGCCGCCATCTTGGTCTGTGTGAGTCAGTGGCCTCTTCAAAAAGCGTAACTCACACTGAATCTGAATGTGTGCGTCACTTCTGCGTGTTTACAGAGTGTAGGACTGTGTGTGTTGTGTACGTCTGACGCCTCGCGCCTCGGGAGGGGTCACTCACCACAGTTGTGTTCATCTGCGCCGTCCGGACACTCCTGGATGCCGTTGCAGTGGACGGTGGCCGGCAGGCAGGTGTCGTTGGAGCAGAGGAAGCCTTTACACCGAGTTCCCTCTGGAAACAAACACACAAAATGAAGAACTATTATGGGGCGCCGCGGCGGCTCACCTGGTAGAATGCCTACCACGTAGGTTTAGTCCTAACTGCAGCTGTCGTGGGTTCGAGTCCGACCCACAGCCCTTTGCTGCATGTCATCCCCTGTCTGTCTCTCCCTGACCTTCCTTCCTATCTCTTTCCTGATAAAGTGCTCAGTACAAACAAAACTGACTTGTTTAAGTAATAATAATAAGCTTTATTCGTTTATCATCTTTCATACAAGAAATGAAAAGAAAAGATATAAAAAGAACAGAAAAACATGGTAAAAGAACTGATCTAAAATGAAAAACATTTAATTAATGTAAAATGATGAATAAAATAATAAAGCATTAAATAAGAAGACATTTAAAGTAAAGAACTCACCACAGTATCGAAGGTCTTCATCCGAGTCGTCCTGACAGTCGTCGTCGCCGTCACACACCCAGCGCTGTGGTATACAGTGACCCGTGTGACACTGGAAGCTGCTGGCCTCACACGTATGGTGGCCCACTAGGGAAAAAACACAAGAGAGATTAACAGCTACCACTGGAACACACGGTGTAGTTTCATTTCTAACAGGCGTCATGTGGTCGGTCACCTGTGCAGTTGGCCTCGTCTGACCAATCCCTGCAGTCGTTGTCTCCGTCGCACCTCCACGCCTCGCGGATACAAACACCTCGAGCACATGTGAACTCCCCGGGGCCGCACTGGTGAGACTCTGAGAAATGTACCGACAAAAAATCAATAATATAAAGGATCAGTTTTAAATACAAAGATACAGAAGTAAAAAACTACAAATAAATCAAGAAACCACAGATTATATTCACATAAAGATCTTTAGGAATCAACTAACTTGTACAATAAACACTTCGAAAAGGTTGCAAAATAAAATTTAAGCACATGCTTATATATTTTTTTCAATTACAAGAGGTAATACAGAAGAATTTACTGTTATTCTCCATGTTTTTAGAACATTTTACATATAAAATGTGAATGTGGTTCCACAGGGCTCTGTTCTGGACCCAGTCATAAACTATTGTTTTTTCTATTACAAAATAATTTAATGTGTCAGTAGAAACTCGTCTCTGCCACCTTTAAAGTTTGTCTGAATGTGCATTAGCTGCTAAATCGGACGCCTCCAGGGCCGCTGGAGAATTACTGTATCTGACAGTAAGTGAATTACAATTCTTTGATTTTGGAGAAACGTAGAAATCCCTGCAGCAGATACAGATTATTGAGAAAGCTGCCAAAGTAAGTAGAGATCCGAACTCGCAAGGTTTAGCCTCCATTTACAGCTTTTTACTAGAATTTTACTTTTTGAGCTTAAAAAACAATTCCCTAAAACACATTTTTAAACACTTCTTCATGCACAAAAACACTTAAATAATGTTTTCATTTTTCTATTCTTATTAATAGTAAAAAAAAAAGCCAAAAGCTTCATTCTGAACATTATTAACGTTATTTTAACTAAATGACATTAATGCTAAAGGTCTGTCAAAGCCTACAACACATATTATGTATATTAGACAGTGAAGTTAAAGTCCACGAAAATAGAATAAAACTAAAAATAAAACTAGAATCACGTCCTCGTGGTTTTCTGCCTCCTCCGCTCGGACTAGTTTCAGGTCACACCCCTGTTTATCCAGAGTCATAGAAAATATGAATCATTTGTGTGAAATGTGTTGAGAAACGGCTAAAAAGTGTTTTGTGATGTCACCGTGACCTTTGACCTTTGATCCCCAAAATCAAATCAGAGTCCAGGTGAACGTTTGTGCCAGATGTGAAGGGATTCCCTCGAGATATCGCGTTCCATTGGCCAAAATCATGTTTTGTGAGGTCACAGTGACCTTGACCTTTGACCTTTAGCCACCAAATTCTAATCAGTTTATCCTTGAGTCCGAATGAATGTTTGTGCTTTATTTGAAGACGTTCTTTCAAGGCTTTGTTGAGATATTGTCTCCACAAGAATGGGACGAACAACCGGAAAACATGCAAAAAAAACACTTAAATTATGATTTAATTTTTGTATTTTGTTGATTTTTTTACTTATTAACTGTAAAAAAAACACCAAAAGCTTCGTTCTGAACATTAACTACAAAATATTAACACTAACAGTCTGTCAACACATTTCTTTATGTCTTTCAGGACTGAACAACCAGCAGTTGTGTCTTACCACAGTGCTCTTCGTCACTGTTGTCTCCGCAGTCGTCCTCGTGGTCACATTTGAAGGCCAGCGGGATGCAGGAGCCTGACGCCACGCAGCGAAACTGGTTGGACGGGTCACAGGTCGTCGTGGCTACGAGTGAGCGGGACGCAAACGAACAGAGAGAGACAGACGGATAAATATGTATGTAAACAATATTTTTTAATCCACGCTGTGAGAAGAGAGAGACGCTCCTGGAGACTTACGACACTCCTGCTCGTCACTCATGTCTCCGCAGTCGTTGTCGCTGTCGCACTTCCAGATGCTGCTGATGCAGCGGCCGTTGGAGCAGCGGTACTGGTTGGGCAAACAGCTGTGCTCTGATTGGAGGAAAACGAAGGATCACACGCAAACCGCTAATTAATGAGCCGGTTTCCAACAGAGATGAGCTCGTACGTCTCACAGCACGTCACCGTTATGATTGTGTCTCACCGGTCTTGACGCAGGTGTTGTTCTGGAGCTGGTAGCCGCTGGGACACTGACACTGCAGCTCGCCGTTGGGCATGGTCACGGTCGGAGCGCCGTCCGGGCAGACGCAGGTGTGCCGGTGGCCGGGCTGAGGCAGACACAGCAGGCTGCACGGCTGGTCGGCGCAGGCGTTGTGGCCTGGAGGACGAGCATCAGATCAGTTTTCATTCTCTCTAACTCAGCGCTTCCAAACCTCTTCCAAATCTCAAACAAGACGACCCACATCCGACCCCGTAACAACACGGACGCCAAATAACACGTTCTCAGAGCAGCTCTTATCTTAATGAGAACGACTGAACATTCTGGATGAACAGGAAGCAGGACAAACTCTTTTTCTTCCTGTTTCTAGTTTTTGTCATGGACGTAATCTGTCAGTGAGACTGAGACAGGAAACAAGGACAGGAAGTGGTCCGACAACATGAAAAGTTCCTGTCATTGTCTTGTCACAGAGGCAGGTCTTGATATAAGACATAAACTCTCTAAACTATTTGCCTTAATTAACACAGTGTTCAGGGTTTGTTCATAAACATGTGGATGTTTTACTCCGAGCTAAGATTCTTGTTCAGCTTCGTCTCCACTCTCTGATCTTTTACCTCGGTTCTTCCCCTTATAGAAGATCTTCAGGTCCATGACTCCGGTCAGCCTCCCAACAATCAGCTCGTTGTTCTGGGAACCAGCTTTTGGAGCTTTGAAGATTCCCATCCTGGACCAGTCGTCCCAGTACAGGTCGTTCTGAAAAGAAACCATTGAGCAGGGAGGAGCTTCAGAGAGATTTTCACCAATAAACTTCTTTGTTTCTCTACATTTTTAAACATCTAATCCAACAAGTACGTTTATACGGTGTGTACTGGCTCACCTTGAAGACGGCGATGGCGTACGGGTGGGGCAGCCCCTCCATGAGGACGCTCCGCTGGCCCCCGTTGAAGTTGGCCCTCTCGATGCGGTCGCTGTAGGCTTCGGTCCAGTACAGCCAGTGGTCGTCGGCCGTGATCCCGTTGGGCCAGCGGACGCCGTCCGACACGATGCAGGACACGTTGGTTCCGTCCATGTAGCTCCGGTAAACGCCGGCCGCTCGGTCCCCCCAGTCGGTCCAGAACATCATGCTGAGGGAAGATTACAGCGTGAATTTAACTGGAGTTATCACTGGTTAATCTAAAACTGGTGCATTGTTTTATGGTTATTATGCGCTCAGCACGGACACTTTCATCTGCTCTTCTACTGTCGGAAAAATCTAAATCCTAAAACAGGAATTTTGTGCTTAATCTGATTTATTCTAATTGAGATTGAACTGTGTACGGAGGCAAAAATAATTCCAGTTTGCCTGGTGTATCGATCCTGAGCGACTCCTTCCTTATAAACACGAGAGTGATCGGCCTTATTTTCCCCTGATGAGAGACACAGGCAGGAGGGAAGAGGGAAACGAGCGGTGAGGCAGCAAAAAATTTATTTGCCGACTGAAACAAAAAAGAAAAAAAGAAAAAGAAAAAATGACCAGCTGAGCTCGGCGTAAATGAAAGCAGAAGTGTGTTTGCAGAAGTGGAACCAAATCTTTGTGATGGTCAACGTGGGTGTGTCTGGATAGTGTCTGGTCCCCCCTCCCCCCATCAGATAGACGAATGAGGGCTGAGGGTTACCAGACCAGAGGTCGAGGCAAAGGTTAAAGCCTGTAGCCGTGACGATAAAAGCCATGACGTGTCATTTTTTGTGACACTCAGGCTGAATTAAATCAGAAATAATTAGGTTTAAATTAGTTGGTTTTTCTTTATGTTGGTTTCTTAAATTAAAGATGACGCGTGTGTGTGTGTGTGTGTGTGTGTGTGTGTGTGTGTGTGTGTGTGTGTGTGTGTCTTCACCTCTCTCCAGGAAGCAGAACCAGAGCACGGGGATGTTCCAGGATGGAGGAGTTGAGCAGAGTGTGGCGTAAATCTCCATCAGGGTTAGAAACCTTCAAACACACAACAACAGGGAAACTGTTTTATTCACCTGTATGTTTTATCATGTTCAGTGTTTGACCTCTGATAACCTCTGATAACCTCTGATAACCTCTGATAACCTCTGAGAACCTCTGAGAACCTCTGGGCCGGTTTCACACAGATATGTGGAACTGGTCTGTCGTGTTGGTCCAGAAAACAAAGACTGACTCATTCTAAGACAAAAACATTACACACCTTACCCCCCCACCCCCCCCAGGCTAACTCAGGCCTAAGACCAATGTTACCATGGTAACAATCAATGACACCAGTAGCACCCAGCTACAAAAAAACAAAACAAAAACATGGCTCATAGTTTGTGGTTTGCTGATGTTGTTCTGGAGAGAAAAGAGAAAAGAGTTTTTAGATTTTTCTTTTTATTGTTTCACTCTTCCTCGGTCGGCCATTTTTATCATTATTGAAAAAAGTCTCAATTTACCCAGAATTCATTGTAACACAATCCGGCTTAAGATAGTAAAGAACTAAACTGCTTTGTGCAACACTTCGATACCTCGATCTTCTGCGCTCCAGCGTCGACCCAGTAGAGCAGTCTGCTGATGGGGTCAAAGGTCAGGGCCTCCACGTTCTGCAGGTCTTTCCTCACGACGACCTCCTGACCCGTGCTGCCGTTCAGACACAGACGCTGCAGGAGACAAGGAGAACACCAGTGATAAACACCGAGAACAGACGCTCATATGAACGAGCTCCGTCTAAAACAAACTGTATCGGCGCTCTGGTCTGCGTCAGAGAAAATCAGAGTCGGTGGTGAACCTGTATGGTGTCCAGAGAGATGTCGGCCCAGTACAGGCAGTTCTTGTCGTAGTCAAAGTCCAGGGCCACGGCCTCCCTGAGTCCGGCCAGAGGCAGGGCCTGGTCTGTGCCCGTGGCCAGGTCGTAGCGGTGGATGGAGTTCCTCACGGCGTACAGGATGAACTCGTTACTCTCTGCAAGGACACGAGACACAGGACTGATGAGAGGAGACGCAACAACGTCGAGTGCGGAGAATCCCGAGTCTGTGGAGTTCACCCGTGAGACTGAGTGACATTTCGTTCTCTTAGTGACGTGAGATACGTTTCGCTTCGTTCATACAATAACTGCGTCAAAATGGACTCGGAGCTGGGCCGCTGCGGTTAGGACTAAGCCTTCGTGGTACTCGCTCCACCAGCTGAGCCACGTTCACCCAAAACTTCTTAAACATCTTAACTTGTGGTTTTTTCCAAAGACGTTCTCATCACATCAAGATTATTTTATGTTTTATTTTCAGATGAATTCACAGATTCACTCACACAGTTTTCTGATCTTCATCCTCCGACAACGTCCTATTAGAAGTTTTTATTCTACAGTTACATCTTTTCCCTCAGTGCAGGTTTAGAGAATATATATATATATATTTTCTTCACTTTCCTCATGTTACAAGAGTTCGTTTCAGCAGATTCACGGTTTGATTTCAGACGTGTTTATGAAGCAACATCCCACTGAGACACATTCAGCCGCAGATTAAGAACAGATGCATCAAATCCTGTGATTATACTGAACTTCTGAAACTGAAATCAGTTTTATAAGAAAGGAAACACCTCAATGATAGACACGATACTTTTAAGAGTGTGGTCCCATGTGTGCTGCTTTCTTAAATCTAATAAAGTGCAGGTTTACCTCCGACGGGACAGGGCAGCATCTCTCCATCCAGCCTGGACTCCACGTCTCCTCCACTGCAGCTGTCCCCTGGAACCTTCCTGTAGCTGCAGCAGCAACAAAAAAAAAAGGAAAAAGAAGAAGAAGAAGAAGAAGAGATGCATTTCCCTCAGTCGGACACTTGGTGGTGCTCTCACCAAACACATCCGCCGACAGCAACAGCACGGCGGTGATGAACCAATGAGGACGGAGGCTCGTTTGCATTTGGAGGAAGTCCCCAAGTAATAGAAACTCATTAACATAATAATAATTGATGACTGCAGCTCCTAATTATCATGTTGTAAGCAGCAGGTACAGAGGTTTGTATCTGCACTTTGAGAATCAGATTTATGGCTTTAAGCCCAAGGTGACAATTTAACGACCACCTGTCTCGCAGCGGTTGATGGTTTAGCTTAGCCGCTACACGTTGTGCTAACAAACCACATTCTTCCTCTGTGGTTGGTTAATTGCAGCTTACCCTTTGCTGCGGCGGTAGGTTGTACCAACGGGACAGGGAACTGGAGGAGCGTAAAGGTCGCCTAAGAACTCGGGGTCAGGTACGCACACCTGCAGAGACAGGTCCTCGCTCAGCTTGAAGCCGTAGTCACTGGAAGGAGGAAGAGGAGGAAGAGGAGGAGGACGAGGAAGAGGAATAAAAACAACCCGTTATTCTGCCCTCTGAGTATTGATCACCTGCATTTTAAATGAGTTGTAACGGGAGCTCAGGAGCTCAGGCTTAGATAAATATATTGGTTTCCCATCAGTTCCGTCTACCTGTGATATGACAGAAGCCCCGCCCACACTAACGCTAATGAATACAGATTTTAATTTCTAACTCTTTTAGCTCAGTCACTGTCTTAAGGAGCTCTTTAACAATCAATAATAATTGTTTGGACAAAATGAATTTGTCGGTTCCTCTTGGTCGTTTTAGATTCTTCATCTGTGACTTTTAATTTCTGTTTGAAGGTTTTAATTGATTCTCGTCATTACATTATTTATTAATTGTACTTACATGTCTGTTTTAATTGATGTTCTGTTTTTAACTGGTACTTTCATCTACTCAGCATCATCGTAAATGAGAGCTTTACCCTCTATGATTTTCGAGTTTAAATAAAAATAAAGACAAATATAAATTTATATATAAAAATTAATAAACATGAACCAGAAAAATCCTTTTCTAACAGATGTTTAGAGTTAGTTTGTTCTGTGCAGTGGTTGTTGAGTCACAAGAAAAATATGATGAATTTGTCAGCTGGACTTTGGGAGACATTTCAAGGAGGATAAAAGGAACCAGTGCACACCTGAGCTTGACCTGTAGTGTCACATGACAGTGAACAAACATGAGTCACGTGTCACGTTACGAGCTGTGACACATGAACAAAACAGTGACATTTTGTTCATTCTGATATTAAAATTAAAGTGAAAAACAGCTTTTTCAGACATGAAACGCTTCCTGTTTGCAGCTTTGTTGCAAACACACGGGCGTGTTTCCTTTCAGTCGACTGACTCGGTGCAACACATTTCACCTCTACTCATGCACATCTGTACAAGCCTGTCACCAGATGTCCTTTGGTTCTTATGCTCTTCACTTTTGCAGGGAGCACCTCACCTCAGAGCTAGGTAGCTACTGCTAGTTAGCTTGTAAGCTGGTTTAACCTCTTCAGTCTGTGTTAGCAGCAAGACTTGGAGTCCATTGTTTGGTCCTTGTTAGCTCCTGCATCACTGATCGGCTGCTTTCTGTTTAATTACACTAACTGTACTATCCGCAATGAGCGCTAAAGCTAACCCTGCGCAGAAGAAGTCCTCCATCCTCCGACGTGTGACTTCTCTTTTCAAGCTAAGGCCCAGCGTGAGGCCTGTACACGGGGTTCCTCCTCCTGCTTGAACCAGCAACGGTAAAAGAAATTGTCCCTGACTTGACTCAAGAGTCAAAAACAGTCTCTACCGCTCCACAATCAAAGAGTACTCGGCGGCTGTATCATTGCTGTCATGTTGATTTTGATGGAGTGACGCCAGGCGTTGGAGGCTCCGGCTAAGGCCTATGGTTAAATCGAGCGTCTCCTCATGGGATTTGCTGTCGGTGCTTGAGGCCCTTTGTGGTTCTCCATTCTTCGCTCCTTCTCTCTCTGACGTTTGCTGATCTCCACACTCTGTCCTACCTGAACTCAGTTTGCTGCTAACTGTCTGAAGGTTGCCTCCACAGCAACGAGCTCAATGGTCTCTTGACTTTTTTCGTCCCCCCTCCCTTTGCATCAGAGGAGCAGGAGGAGCACACCCTGTGTCCTGTGCCTGTGTCGCACTGGACTGTGGAGGCTTATAACAGCAAAGGTGTCCCCTCGCCTCAGGGTGCCTTTGACCGAGGCTACGGGCTTTGTTTAAAGACCGGTCCGCGGGGGATATCTGTGCAGCAGATGGTTTTTCGTCGTTGGCTCATTCTGTCCTCTCTGCTAGGACCGTGATTCACCGGTGCATCGGGGGTTTTCGCCTTTCATATGTTGCTCCAAGTGAATCGACTGATAGAGAATGAAAGGTGCTGACTATAACTTCTGTTCCTCGAGCTGAGGGACAACTGTGGCGCCGTGTCTTGTTTCTTTACGACTGACTGAGTTACAGACAACAACAATCACTGATGACACTGGGAGTAAGTGAGGAATATGTATATGTTGTGCGTGTCCCTCCCTCACCACTCGTAGTCCTGGCGTGTGCAGGAGCAGTTGGAGACGGTGACGGGCCGGTCGAAGTCTTCCCCGTTGAAACACGTGGCGTGAGGAGCTCGTCTCTTGAAGGTTATCTCTCTGCCCAGCAGACACTCGTTACCGTGCTCGTCCGACGGAGACCAGCGCTTGTAGTCGGCCTCTGAACACGGCACACCTGGAACAGATGTTAGATTGGTAATATATAATGTAGTAAGTCGCTAATTTGGTACGTTTCTACATTTCACAATGACTTTTTTTATTTTACTTTGTACAAACCTTACACCGACCTAAGTCAACTGAACTTTGCAATGTCCTTGTAAAGTTTATTTAAGCCACATTTCCTGATTTTTGCACAAACAAATTTCTTTCTGCTCATTTTCAATGTTAGCTGCTACGAGACTCATGCTAAAGACGCTAAAGACGCTAAAGACGCTAAAGATAATTTCTTAAGAGACATTTATTCTCGACTTTATGATCCTCCAACAACTGCTCCTTCAACTGTAGTGACAAGTGTAACTAACTGTAAACAGTCATCGCAGTTAATCCAAACAAACAGCTGCTTCATGACCCACATGCTAGGCAGCAAAAGAAGCTAACATGTCTTTATTGAGCTAACTGGATAAAATCTATGGAAGCCTACAGGGGACTATATTCAAAAGATAATGT